TAATGCTATATAATTCTATATATATAATTTTGAATAGTTGCTAAAGACTACTGGATCTCCAGTGAGTCGCGGTATATCTCTATTTCGTATTTTGCGATATCTCTTCAACTAGTGCTTATATATACATTCTATATGCTTATTCTTTTCATGTGTCTATGAGTACAGATAATTGGTTGTTATCAGATCCATTTTTTCATAATCTTCTTGGAGTGGATCATACTTTAATTTAGTCCTTGCGGCACAGATGATTTTATTTCGTAAAGCAACTAGTTTAGCTTCAAGAGTTAGAACATGCCAGTAAATCAAGGCGTACCTTCGGCCAAACTAATGGGCCATTTTCAATGGCATACTTCCTTTTATTCCAAATTTTATACCTTCGACAAAAGTCCAAATTAAGAGTGCTACATAAACGCTGCCTCATAGAAGAATCCTCCTTTTCTCAGTCTCCACTAGTTTCTTCATAGAGTCCAAAATAACTCAGCACTCTGCATTGCTACTTTTTAATTATAGCATGTAATACCGGCGTATTTGAATTCAAGTTAATTTCACTAGCCCTGTTTTATGAGTGCTACAATTTATCTATCCTCTTTATTTTATCGTTAACTTTGACTTGCGTTAAGAAACATAATGAAAGCATATGTCTTGACTTCAGTTTCCAGTTCTAGGTACAGAGTGAGGATGCATATGAGCAAAACTACAGAGTTTTACAAGGAAGCATGACTGCTGAATCAAGCAAGCTACGAGTTACGGGATATCATAACGTAGAGTGTAATTTCCTACGTTTTATACACGCTTAGGCATAGTCACTAGTTGATTTGGGGTAATCTTTATTAATGTTATAGCTCATTAAAGCGAGGGGCATTCCTAATATAATCGGGAATACAGATTTAACAAGAAACAGACATGGATCAGATGTTTGCCTTACAATCTTTTATTCCTTATGCATCCACAAAAGTCATTTTAATTTATGATCACACCTTAGCAAAATGGGTATTATCTCTTATACATACATCATAAATGGGTTAAAAGCTTAGTTACCATCGTTTCATGTGTTTAATTAGCTATAGCCTGATCTTACCTTGTCTTCGCTTTACTAGAAGCCGAGAAAACAAGTTTCCCAGCTATGCGTATTCAAAAAAAGTTTACTTTAAGACTATCAGTAAAGTTTATTTTGTCACTGTCTAAATTTGTTGATTAGGGTTGGCTTGAATCTGATCTTTCTTAGAAGGTAAGGTCAACCTGGTTAGGCCTTTTGTGCTATTGTAAACTGTTACAGTCAATGATAACTCACTACTAAGCTGTGTAGTTTTGGGCTCTCAATGGTTTTCCTCACTGGCAATGCCAACTACAAAAGCATCGGCAGAAGCGGCAGTACGAAGCACCCTTTGATTAGTTTTTGCACGTATAGGGCTAGGCCTCGAAAGCTAGATTAGGCTAGGCTCTGAGTCATTGTATTTACCGGATATATGGTAGTAATGTCTGAAAAAACATCTTCTTACAACATCTTCTTACATTTTTAGCTTATAAACCATGCATAGAATCAATGTCCCCACACTTTTATCCAGAATACTAGTGGACGTCGCCAGTGGAGCCTTGATTGAACCTAACCACATGCGGTTAAAGTTTGTTAGTGTGCTATTTACGAGATTGGCTACTGTATAATGTTGAAATTGCACATGCCTGAACTTAAATGACTCCTTTTGAGACTATTGCTTCATATTTCCCCTTAATCATGGCATTTACTTCAAGTTAAACTAATTAGGGGCTCTACTAAGTGTAGTTTAGAAGTTGGATTAATTGAGCAAACGTTGATATCTCAAGCCAATAAAGAATAAATTTTATAGAAGATTTTTTTATCTATACTTTGATTGCTAACCAGGAAAAAAATATACACAGACGAAAGATCATTTGAGCATTGGATCAATATATTTGCTTTGTCAAAACCGTATTTCTCTTATGTTTTGTACTCAGAGGATATTAATTATAATTTGCTTACATAGGCTAGCTAGTAGGAGTTGAAATCTCTCGAACAGAGATCTTATTTATACCGCACTGTTTCACCTTAAAATGTCTCATTAACTCTTTTACCTCTACAACAGGGACGGAAGTTTATATAATTTCCAAGCCCTATAACAACCAATTGGAGAATTCTTAACTGGTTGCCAAATTAAGTAGATTGCATTTCTTTGTGAATTTCAAGAAGTCTTAATCTCTTTAAAATTCATTTGTATACAGGATACAAGCACAGAAAAAAGCTAGTAGTCTGATAGAGTTTGATACCTGAGTTATGTGTAATCAAGTATTGGCAAATTGTCACCTATAATTGCACTTGCTAATGTGTTAATATTAGTATCACTTGAATGAACTATTGAGTTTGATGGCAACATAATGAATGTAAATTACAAATTAGAGGCGGACTTGCTCTGCAAGTAAAAGGGGATATGTGACTCCCTACAAAATTTTCTTTGTAGTAAAGCGAATAAGACATTTGCCTATAAAATTACACGGCTTAGTTTTAAGTCTTTCATCGATGCTAACGAGACTTGGGTGATATCTGAGCTACAGCACATTCAAAATCAAAGTGCCTCTTTCGGAGCACCCCAACTATATTTATTTATGTGCAATCATATTGGCTTGGTATTCTTTTAGCTGGCTGGTCGCCTTGGCGTTCGTGCCGCTAGCCACCTGGAGGAAGCGTCGCCAGCAGGTGTGGCTGCCATGGCGACAAGTGGAGTCGCTGCCGTCCTTCTACCCTCCACAGCTCAGCTGCTCCGACTACGTCCACCACCTGCACAGGCCATCTTTCAGGCCG